ACCCCAGAGTCGTCCGCGACTGGACCTAACGGTCAGAGGTACCTTTACCTTTATGCTTATTTACATATATAAATACCAAACATAGGAGGACATAAATGCATATGTTTCAACAGACAGCCCAAGTATACAGTTCCCACATAAAACAGACAGCACTCAAATGCTACTTGCTTACTAAACCCAAACTCAACTCTCTATATCTTTCTTAGGGAGCTTTCAGGTGACCCATTTATTGCACAGTCATTCTCATTTGTTTGTGGAAGGTTTAGCTGACATTACATCAAAGCAAGTGTTATCCCACACTGTCAATATAATTTCCCCATTGCTTCTCTTATTGCAAAAGTCAAATCATTGGAGGAATCTGGTTTGTTATGCAAGACCTCCAATCAACTATAGGTGTGCAATCTGAATTTGCTGGTTTGTGAATGAATCCCACATGGAAGTTTCTGTCTCACACGTTCTTTTGACACACAACTAGCCCACTCCCAGTGGCTAGACCGGAAAGAGAATTCAGATGAGTTATGCCTTCTTAGCTCCCATAGAGACATATCTCCAGAACATGATGGGATGTCTAGTCTAGGTCTTGCCTCAGAGCAACCCACCTGGATATCCCCAAAGAAATCTGGTTTAAAAAACCCACAACAATACTATATTGTTGGGCATATCTATACATTCTAACATTCAAAGACATCTCTCCTCTGTGTTTAGTTTCTTCTTTTATCTTTATAGGGATATTTTTATAACTTCCTCTTACTAAGCTGCACAACATCATAAAGTTATGAGATTCAACCTGCCCACAGTCAGTTGTCATTTTTTGGGTCACTACATTTACATGAATTTAGATTCTATGTATAGAGGGCTGTTTTCCTTTGGAAGCTATTTCTGTTTACAGAATCCATAAATTCAAAGCTTGAATGACTGATAGGTCATACAGAGAAGGTTGCAATGCTGAGATAGTATAGCATAGCATACCTCTGTATGCTAAACTCCTTGCAAAAGTAATGTTAAGAATTCCATCCTGAACAAAAAGCAATCCATCAATAATCCTTCCTCTGCTAACACACTTCAGAACTTCTGGTTACAATAACTAAAAGGGCTTACTAAGAAAGGAATGGCATTCCAATTAATTTGCAACCGATGCATAAAATAAGCTTGTCTGTGAAATCACCACTCTGAAATTTCTCTTCTCATGCATTTTTCATTGTTATTATTTGGCTACCTCAACTCTTACGGGTCAAATTAAAATTCATTCATCCAGGTCTGATATAGAGACAGTAGATAACTTCATATTAGTGATTCCTATTGAAGTTTATACAACTGTTTGCAAATCCAGAAAGCTTTCTGATTGCCCAAGAGTATTATAAACTACAGCAGGAAGGTTCTTACATTTAGTTTAATATCCTACAGAAACGAAATGAAAAAGTCACACCACCCTTACAGTGGGGCAGAGGAAACTGGTGGCAGCAGAACCCCCTACAGGCTCAGATTTCAGGGCTGAGGTCACCAACCTTTCCCTACTTCAGGTCCTACCCCCCCCCGAAATATACTCAGATGATCTGTGATTTCAATAACTCACAGACACTGAAGAGGTTGACCAATTTGTTTAATGTAATATAACTGTTGCTGATTTTTTTCTGTTGAAGCTGAATAGTTGGAAGTTGAATCACACTGGCTGCATTACTCTTCACACTTTCTGGTAATTCTTGGAAATCATCAGATAAAAGAACTCTAAAACCAATTTCGTCTGAAAATTCACTGCACAGGGACAACATTACCACTCTGTTTGCACAACATTACACATACTATAATAATATATGATGATACATTCCCAAGTGCTCCCATGTTTCTACCTCGTGCCTTTCCTACCTGCTAGAATACTGTTGTTTTTTAAACAAAAAACATTCCATCATTTAAAAATTTGAGCACGCTTCTTTATGTATATCTGCTAGTGCAAGTCCCACTAGCCATGAACTGAAACAGATAAGAGTTGCCACTGAAATGTTGCTAAAATTCAAAGGAAACATAGTTGTTCTTCATCAGGTGAAACATCTCAAGTAGTTTGAGAAACTCTTACATTTATTGGGAGAGTCTACACTTCTATATATCAAATTACTGGGAGTATGAATTAGACTGAGCTAACCAGCAGCATTGACTTTCCTAAGATCTGTGCTCTGAGGAAAGATCCAGAGAGAGCACATTGTCACTACTTTCACTATTGATCACTATTTGTGATCAGTAGTGAATCTGCAGTACAACTTCCAGCAGTTTTTGTTCTGGACCAGAAATCCCTCTTATTTTGAGAAAGATACATTGCTACTCCTATCAAAAGCTTCTGAAAAGAACACTCCAGAGACTGTATGTAAAGAGCCAAGGACAAAAGTTATATTTTCAGCTCTAGATGTGACCAGATTTTCAAAATTTAAAAGTGAGACACTTCTGAGCAAATGATTTGAACCTTGTCTGAAACATTAAAGAGGGCCTGTTATACAAGTTGCACTCCGATGTTTATCACTTGAGCACAACTGCTTCTATAAACACAAAGCATTAACTCCTTCTAACCCAACCTGCCTCTCCATCTGAGTCCTCTTAAAGTGAACAGCTGTAGTCCTTCAGAAACAATTTCAAAATATAGCTTGTTTTCTCATTGCTTTTAACACAGGTTCTGGTTTGGTTTGAAAGATTCTATTAGAGGAAACGTTCTAAGACTTGCTAGTGATCGTTTTCCTAAAATCACATGAATACAGAACGCCTCTGTAATTTAAAGATGACTTTTAGGAATCCAATTATTTGAAAATCAGAAAAATAAGACAGACAGTAAAAAGGGGGTGAAAGCCATATAACTGATATTGCCATCTTGTGGCTTAAAGAGGCTGTAACATGCAAGTTAAAAGATGATATCCCTGTCTCTGATGTTCTGTAAACATAACACATTTTCAATTAAATATGAGAGACGAAGTAGCACAAGAAAGAAATACTATTCAGACACACACATCAGAATTAATTACAGGAGAAGAGGAACAATCCTATTTGTCTGGAAAGGCCAATCTCACGAGCAGCCATTAGAACTGATATGCACAGATTTTTATTCAATGAAATAGAAGTAGACAAGTTTCCACAACAGCAGCTCCTAAATTAGCAGAAGTTCCAAACACAGCCTGGAACATTTTTTCCTATACCTATACTCAGTTTGAATGTGATCCATCCTGTACAAACAGAGTCCAAAATACAGCCACATGGAACAATGTACTGTGAGAGCAAACACTCGATGGATTTATCTCAAGCCATTTCCTCTCTCTCAGCCTAACCCGTCTGGGTTGCTTTAAATATAAGATCTTCCTTCACATTGGAGGTTGCGCATAATATGTCTATAAAAATATGGCAGTCATGTGCAAGTAACAGTCCCATAAGAAGCCTCCAATGAGCAGATAAGAGTGCATACATCATATCATTTTAGCATGGCTTCTTGCTGCCAAATGATGTGCTTTAGTTGAGGCCTCACTGCAAAGTGTTCCTAACTTTGCTACCACAGGGGTTTAGGGTGGGGAGCAAGCTAAAATGCTGAGCCAATGTTCCTGCCTATTCAGCGCTTTCTTCACTTAAGAAATAGCTACTGTTGAAAACTATTTGTTGAAACAATTAACTTTTTTGAAACAAGTAACTTATTTCCATCCGTATTCCAGTGCCGGTAGTACGCGCAGCCCTATCTGCAGACTGGGGAATCATCGTGTCTAAACAGGACCTAAAACTGAGACTATCCGATTATATTCAGGGGCAGAGGAAGGGGTGTGTGGTGGGGGCGGGCCTCCCTGGGTGTCACCACTGGGGGGGGTGACAAAATGCTGGGTGGCACTCACCGTGGGGCCTGCAGCACGCCCGAGCCATGTGTCTCTCCTGGGAGTGACGTGGTGGCTTTGGCGCCCGCAGGCTCTACGCTGCCCCAAACGGTCCGCCTGCTGCCTCCTCCCCTCAGCTGTAGGGAGGCTGAGAGGCAGGCAGACTCCTCAGAGGCCCTGTGATGGCCTGGGAATCCGATTCAGAGGCTGAACTGGAGGAATCCCAGCCTGCACAGGAGTCCCCACCTCCAGGGCCGGCTGAACTGGGGCAGGGCCTTGATTCTGAAGCGCCTGCACCTGTGCTGGATCCTCAGGAGCAGGCACCAGGTGAATCCACTCTGGCTCCGGAGGTGGTTGAGGACCTACAGGTGAGTCTCCCCCTGGGTCCAGTAACCCTTCAGCCTCTCCTGAACTGCAGAGGCTCAGGGCAGAGAGGCGAAGGGAACTGGTTTCTCCCAGGAGGAGTGCTCGCCTTAAGGCCAGGAGAGGCGGGTCTCCTGGGGGCCGGGACCGCCCCTGGCCTCAGAGAAGATAAAGGCCAGTCAGCCCAGTCCCAGGTTGCGGGAGCAACGTCATTGAAGAGCTGTTTCGGCCAGCATCCAGTCCTGTTCCCCCAGAGTTCCTGTCCTTGCCCGGCTTCTCGCTGTGGACCCCGCTTCGCCCGAGGAGGACTGCCTGCCGACCCTCAACTCAGGTCCTGGACCTCGCCCCACGGTAACCTCCCCCCTGGACCAGCACAGGCCCCATGGAGTGTCCTGCCCCAGCAGGCCCCGCCCTGTGGGTAGCTGGCCCTGCCTCTGGGTGCGGGGTACGTGCACCGCCTCAGGTGCCCAATTGGCTTGCTCGGCCACTGATTATATTAGCTACAATTAAGGAACACAAGTGGGACTTGTGACAAAATGTTGCACAAGGGGAGCTCAAAGTTCCAGCCAGCCATGGCGTTTCCCAGGATACTCCAGTCCCTTCCTCCACCCTGGTTTCCTGTCACCCTGCCTCCCCCCGCCAAAAAAAAAAAGTTAATCAACATTTCATGGCTGCTCACCATTGAGCTGCTTTTGGCTTTTTCTCTCCCTTAGGAATATTGCCCTAAAGCATTTTCTATTTCTGCCAATCTGTGAGCCCCATCAAGTATGACAATACATCATTCTTTGGGCTGCATAAGCATTAGCACGTGAATAATGAGTTTGCTATTTGTATTTTAATTGTTTATTTAACAGATTTTGTATACCACTTATTTACAGAAACCTCTAAGTGGTTTACATAAAATATACATTAAATTGTATAGTGTGTGTGTGTGTGTGTGTGTGTGCGCGCGCGCGCGCTAAATGACATCTTGTTGGTCTGGTTATGTGATGATCTATAAAATGGTATATCATCCAATTCTGAAGACAATTGTATTTTCCCTGTTAAGCTACTGAAGAAGAGAAATGGCCACATGTACTGATACATACTGGCTTACATATACAAGGCCTTAATGATATGCCATCTTCTAGCTAACCCTCTTCTATAAATGCTCACTAGCTCTCCACTTTGCTCAGTTTCACGCTAACTGGCACAAAATGTTTCCTTAGATTTCCTACATTGCCAGCAAAATGCAAATGATGTAGCTGAACATTTTAATAACATTAACATCTGTACATTGACATTCATTTTTATTCAGTTTTTTAAAAATAAAAAATACTTGTTTTTAGAAGGAAATGGTGTCGAGTGATTTAACTTTACTACACCACTTCTGATGATTCACTTAAAGAATGAGAAGTGATTCCATTGTTCCTGTTAGAAATATAATCCTGAATGAGCCCTTGGAGCAAAATCTGAAATTAAACAGTTACTTATCAACATGGAATAGATTAACTATGATTAATAACATAGGCTGATTGTGTACCCTTATCTAACTCATGCAAGTGAGATAAAAGTGCATGAAAATGACGTGTAAAATAAAGAATTTAATATTTGGAATGGCTGTGCCAAAGCCACAGAGAGCTTATCCAAAGCTTGTGCAAGAGAGACTGTTTTATTATTTGCTGCGTTGCTTGTTGGATATATTTGCACATCTCCATTTAATTTACAGGGAGAAAGAGTTTTTAAGAGTTCTTATAAATATGACAGACAACAATCTATCCTCAGCAATAGTCCTCTTCAGGTGTTACAGTTAAGGTGGAAAATATTTGGGGAAAGTAGTAATCTGGTGTGGAAGTCTATAGGTACAGAAAAGTATGATATACTTTAAAATCTTAAATTTCTATTTGTCCTAAGACAAATTCTACAATTATAAATTACCTGTACTTTAAAAGCCAAATTCTAGAATCTCAGGGTCTAAATCAGTTCTCCAGATAATAGTCTATGGACAAAGAAGTGGTCAAGTTAGGATTAATAATGGGCAACCAACTAGTGAATGGTGCTAGCCCTCAAAATCAAATGGGCCTTTGGGAATTATTGCTGAAAACCTGAACGCCTTCAAAAGATACTGAGCATTTGAAGGAACTTGGAAAGTGGAATGGATGGAGGGGAAAATATAGCTTCCCCTTGGGCTGTGGAGAAGCTCACTGGGCCTCTCCCCCTTCAGGCAAGTGATGCTGTGGGGGATCGTGGGTTTGACCTACAAGCTGATAGACCTCTCACTGGCTGTAGATTATGCTGCCAATGGGCAGGATTGTGCAGTTTGTCGTTGCCAGGCTTTCTTGTGCTAAGGAGGAGACATTTCCTAAGCTCTTCCCACCTAACACTCCTCCAGCTGCTACCTGCCCCTTCTCCCTAGATTTCTTATTTTTCTTGAGGGTGGGGGATTTGGTAGCAGTTAGCAAATGGCTTAGAGGTGCAAGCAGAAACTGCCTACTCATGAGACTGCCTTAATTGTGCTTGCATTTGAGCAGGGGTGCTTGCATAATCAAAGAACTTCCTGCTTTGAGTTGTTGCTCCACTGCTAGTTAGAATCATGCAGCAGTATCAGCCTATACCTGGCATTATGTATTATGTATTATGGCTTCCTGTTCTGTAGATTGCATGCTATGTAAGGGCATCTCAGATTGATGCCAATTGTGCAGCAGCGGGAGAGAATGACTGACACAGATGTGGTGAATGAAACAGTGAAGGTAGTTCCTATTGTCCCTGTGGTTTAGTCGTTTAGTCATGTCCGACTCTTCATGACCCCATGGACCAGAGCACGCCAGGCACTCCTGTCTTCCCCTTACTGCAATTTGTATTGAATGCTGTAAGTGGGATACAGCTATTACACTCATGTGCTTGTTCGTAGCACTTTTGTACACAGTTATTTACATACGTCATATAAAATTCAAATGTGAATTTCACATATAGAATCACTATTTCTGAAAGCTTTACTGTTATTATAAGGCGACTAGGACCAGAAAAATGCCTTCTGGGGATGAGGTTGTGGGCTGGATCTTGTATGTTGGTGTTGGCCATCCTTGTTTTAAAGGAACTAAATAAAAAATGCAACATTACATTTTACTATGCTGTTCACTGTACATAAAGGTTTAAGCAGCACACTACAATTCACTGTAGCTACACAAAGACAAGTTTCTTAGATTTCTGTTTCTTGTTCTAAAGCATGTTGTTGTTAACAAAGGAGAAAGCAGATTAATTAGTAAGTGAACTAGTTAATATTAGAATTAAATCTGCCTAAGATTTGCTGGCGGCATTCTTGGCAATTCTGCAAAGTAAGTAAAGTAATAATGTTTGCGCTTTCCCTTCTTCCCACTGCATTACTGAAAGCAAGGGTTAGTTTAAAATAACTTAGGGAAGCTTTTAATCTGTGATATTTTACTGTATTTTTTGTTTCTATGGAAGCCGCCCAGAGTGGCTGGGGAAACCCAGCCAGATGGGCAGGGTACAAATAATAAATTATTATTATTATTATTATTATTATTATTATTATTATTTATTATTAGAGGTAACATATGCATTTGGCAAGACCCAATTATGAAATCTACACAAGGGGCAAGAAAATTATCAAGTCCACCCCACATCCTGTCCTCAGTTAATATTTTCCTCATATCAGCTCCCCTATCCCTGAAGATATATTGACACACATAACCCAAAGCACAGTGTGCTACAGGGAGATGAAGGAAACATGAATGGCACCTGCAGAGTTTACTGTTCAAGGTGCAAATGAGTCAAGATATATGCACTTTATAGGAAAGGAAACAGCCTGAAGATCCATAATAGAGTCACTTTGCTGAAGCTAAGCAGCTTTAGGTTTGGTCTGCATTTGTATAAGAGACTACCTGGAAATCCATCATGGAGCCAGTTTGAGTTCTGTGATGGATGAAAGGTGAGGTGCAAATGTACTAAATGAGCTCTGATAAAGGCACTCATATGGTCATGAGTACAGCGGTATCTCGGTTTTCGGACATCTCCGTTGACGAACATTTTGGTTTCCGAATGTTGTAAACCCGGATGTAAACGCTTTGGTTTTCGAACACGCCTTTGAACATTCCACTGGCTTCCGTATTGGGTTTTCTGTATTGAGTTTTTGGGTTTCGGAACTCGGTCTTCTGAAATGGATTACGTTTGAAAATCGAGGTACCACTGTATAAGCTATTTTTGTCTGGCCCCTTAGAATTCCATGGGACTAGATGTTACCAAGTCTACAACTTCCTCTCGTTATGCCACACTAACAAGTGTGTGTGTGTGGCCACAAAGTTGTGATGTTTTGGAGATCTGTTATCCAGAGTGACAGCGCATCACCACAAGGAGATTCTGCAGTTACTTGGGGGGCAATAGTGGACCGTGTGGTTGGGCAGAAATGCTTACCTGGCATCCCGGCGGGCGAGTCACTGCTGCTTACTGGGAAGGAGAGGGGATAGGCAGGGTCAGTATAGTTCCAACACACCAGCAGATACAATCTTGCACTCCCTACTCCCTCATACTCCCACCTCCCAGTAAGCAGAAGTGACTCATAGAATCATAGAGTTGGAAGAGACCACAAGGGCCATCGAGTCCAACCCCCTGCCAAGCAGGAAACACCATCAGAGCACTCCTGACATATGGTTGTCAAGCCTTTGCTTAAAGACCTCCAAAGAAGGGGACTCCACCACACTCCTTGGCAGCAAATTCCACTGTCAAACAGCTCTTACTGTCAGGAAGTTCTTCCTAATGTTTAGGTGGAATCTTCTTTCTTGTAGTTTGGATCCATTGCTCCGTGTCCGCTTCTCTGGAGCAGCAGAAAACAACCTTTCTCCCTCCTCTATGTGACATCTTTTTATATATTTGAACATGGCTATCATATCACCCCTTAACCTCCTCTTCTCCAGGCTCACCTGCCACGAGGTCAGCTAAATGTCTCTGCACCACTAGGTCATCCTCTACTGCTTGTGGAAATTAGCAACAGCCTCTGGGTCCCAATCGGAGTAGAAATAGTTGAGGCAGGAGGAGAGGGTTCATGTTTATCATGGGAGTGGGGATGGGAGGCTTAGCCCACTTTGCTCAGCTAACAGTATTATGTAATATTGATCTGTTATACTTGATTCCAGTACAGAAATTTGCCTTATGTTCAGTTCTAGATATCCCTTTTACTTTTGTTTTTGACATTTGCTATTATACTTTTATGTTCCATTAAAAATAAGATATATTTTTTAAAAGAAATCAATATGAATAATACTTAGGATTTATATACTTATATGGTCATTTTAGAGATTTTCACAGTGCTTCAGTTTATTACTTATAATCCAAACAACAATCTTGGAAGGTCAGTGAGTATCATTGTCACCACAGAACCAATGGAGGGCTGTGTGTGTGTGTGTGTGTGTGTGTGTGAGTGAGAGAGAGAGAGAGAGAGAGAGAGGCACTTGTATAGCTGGAAAGGTCATGACAAAGGTGACTCAAATGAGGAACTTCCTGATTTGTAGCTCAATTTCTTAGCCACTCTGCTTCAAGACCTGAAGAAAAACCTAATAACTGTAATCAGTACATTGCCAAGAACTCAGTCTTGTTGCTTTTGGCAATCGTTAATTAAATTTTATTTTTGCAAGAGAAGCATAAAGCTTTGCTTCTGACCTATTTCTTTTTTTTGAATTTGAGAACTTGATTTGCATATATGTCTAAAGGAATGAGCCACAGTATTTAGGGGAGGAGGGGTTAAGCTCAGAATCTTTCTTAAAAATATTTTATTAGGGATAAGAAAAGTATACTATTACTGAGAATGAAGCCCAGCCTTGAAAATAAGTGTTTCTTTGCCCTTGTGACCTGTTTTAGCAGTATATTTAATAGGTGCAAGGAAGAGCTGGTGACAGCAGCGTGGGATGCTTCAAAGCACCACCAATTTGCTGGCAGGAGAGGCTACTTAAAAGAGAAGGCAAGGGTG